CCTTCTGAACTTGTTGGGCCACTGCATGGGCTTCTATGGTAGCCATGTGTTCAGTTTGGGTCACTCCGTGTTCCTCCATGAAGATCTACTGTCAGAAAAAAGGCAAAGAACAGGATTCAGTGTGCAATATATTCCAATGCTTAAAATAAGGATATTTTCCTCAAGAGCAGAGGAACTCTGACAAGCTTTTGATTTTACTACATACCTCACCACACCAAGTCGTAGGAAATGGGGAGCATCATTCCAGTGACATAAAAATAGTAGAATATTTTCCTTGTGTGAAACTATTTTGATAGCTTTTTTTTTTAAACCAACTGTGTGATTTTTATTGATGGGCGACAACTTTACACTCCTAGCTATCACTAACTGTGTACAATTAGAGACGCGGCCTCGTAGAAGAGCAGACAGCAGAATTAGACAGCAGGTGCAGGGAATTATCAATCTTCAACATTTTGCCCATTTTTCATTATGTGTACACAGAAGCATGAATGCAATTAGAAATCCTTTAATGGCAATAAAGTTATAATCACCCACCTATGTGACTGACATCATAACTCCAAATATTTGATCTGCAATGTGTACGTAAGCAGCTTCTCGTCACACAATTATTAAAATGTATTTTTCCTATTAGGAACCAGCAACTTATTTTTTGTGTTTGTTTATCTTTGGAAGTAAGAACTATTTCTTCTCTGATAACTGGCTCATTTTTATCATTTATCAAAAACTAAAGGGTGGGCTTCCCTGGTGGCACAGTGGTTGAGAGTGCGCCTGCCGATGCAGGGGACATGGGTTCGTGGCCTGGTCCGGGAAGATCCCACATGCCGTGGAGCGGCTGGGCCCGTGAGCCATGGCCGCTGAGCCTGCGCGTCCGGAGCCCTGTGCTCCACAACGGGAGAGGCCACAACAGTGAGAGGCCCGCGTACCGCAAAAAACAAACAAACAAACAAAAAAACCCCAAAACAGTAAGTAAAATACCTAACATTTTCTTTATATTTCAAACACAAATGCGAGTTAAACATTTTGTCCCCAAAATGTGATTATTCAAATTGGTTTTTCTGCTTATAAAACTGTGTTTCTTATAAACCCTGAAATGATGCAGTAGTAAGATAAAGGTTTGCTCTCCTAGTGTACTTATGAACTGTCCCCTCTTCTTCCTCCCTAACCTAAAGAGAAGTATATTAACCTTAAAAATTTTTTTGAAGCATACATACATACATATGATTTAAAATAAAAAGAGGTTCACAATACACATATTATTCTCTGACAATATATCTGGACATTTTGACATGTCAAAACATACAAATCTACCAGACCTTTCTAAATAGCCAAAGAACACTTCACTGTATCAATGTGCAATAATTATGCAACCAATCACCTACTGATACATAGGAAGGTAGCTTCCAAATTTTTGGTATTGTAAACAGCAGTGAAGTGAACATCCTTTTGTTTTCTTTTGTTTCTGTTTTGTTGCGTTACGCAGGCCTCTCACTGTTGTGGCCTCTCCCGTTGCAGAGCACAGGCTCCGGACGCGCAGTCTCAGCGGCCATGGCTCACGGGCCCAGCCGCTCCGCGGCACGTGGGATCTTCCCGGACCGGGGCACGAACCCACGTCCCCTGCATCGGCAGGCGGACTCTCAACCACTGCGCCACCAGGGAAGCCCTGAACATCCTTTTATATCAAACTATGCATAATGGTCCTCAAAAAACTTTAAGAAGAATTACCATATGATTCAGCAATTCCACTTCTGGATGCTATGCTGGGAGAACTGAAAGTAGAGTCTCAAAGGGCTATTTGTACACCAATGTTCATAGCAGCATTTTCACAATAGCTAAAAGGTGCAAGCAATCCAGCTATTCACTAACAGAAGAATCAGTAAGCAAAACGTGGACATACATACAATGGAATGTTACTCAGCCTTAAAAAGGAAGAAATGCAAACTAGGAGGAGAGGGGATCTTCCTCGAACTGATAAGAAAAAAAATGTACAAAAAATCTACAGCTAGCATCATACTTAATGGTGAGAAACTAGAAACTTTCCCGCTAAGATGAGAAACAAGATAAGGATGTCCCCTCTCATCATTCCTTTTTGACATTGTACTGGGAGTCCTAGCCAATGTAGTAAGACAAGAAAAAGAAATAAAACTGTCTTTGTTCACAGATGACTTGATTGTTTATGTAGGAAATCCAAAAGAATCAATAACAATTTAAAAAAAAAACCTGGAACGAGTAAGTAATTATAGCAATGTTGTAGGATACAAAGTTTATATACGAAAGCCAACTGCTTTCCTATATACCAGCAATGAATAGAATTTGAAATTAAAATAACACGATTACCATTTACATTATCAACCAAAAAATATGAAACACGTAGGTATAAATCTCACATAACGTACAAAATCATGAGGAAAACTATAAAACGTTGATGAAAGAAATCAAAGAACTAAAACAGACAGATATTCCAGTTCATGGATAGGAAGACTCAACAATGTCAAGATGTCAGTTCTTCCTAACGATCTATGGATTCAATGCAATCCCAATCAAAATCCCAGAAAGTTATTTTATGGATATTGACAAATTAGTTCTAAAGTTTATATGGAGAAGCAAAAGACCCCGAATAGCTAATACAATATTTTATTTATTTATTTATTTATTTATTTATTTATATTTATTTATGGCTGTGTTGGGTCTTCGTTGCTGCACGCGGGCTTTCTCTAGTTGCAGTGAGCGGGGGCTACTCTTCCTTGCGGTGTGTGGGCTTCTCATTGCAGTGGCTTCTCGTTGCAAAGCACGGGCTCTAAGTACATGGGCTTCAGTAGTTGTGGCTCACGGGCTCCACAGAGCAGACTCAGTAGTTGTGGCACACGCAGCATGTGGGATCTTCCTGGACCAGGGATCGAACCCGTGTCCCCTGCATTGGCAGGCGGATTCCCAAGCACTGTACCACCGGGAAGTCCCTAATACAATAATGAAGGAGAAGAATAAAGCTGGGAGACTGACACTACCTGACTTCAAGACTCACTATAAAGCTACAGTAATCAAGGCAGTGTGGTACTGGTAAAAGAATAGACAAACAGATCAATGAAACAGAATAGTGAGCCCAGAAACAGATCCCCATAAATACAGTCAACTGATCTTTGACAAAGGAGCAAAGGCAATACAATGGAGCAAAGATAGTGTCTTCAACAAATGGTGCTGGAATATTGGACATCCACCTGCCAAAAAAATGAATCTAAACACAGACTTAACACCTTTCACAAAAAGTAACCCAAAATGGATCATAGACCTAAGTGTGAAACGCAACACTATAAAACTCCAAGAAGATGACGTAGGATAAAACCTAGATGACTTGGGTATGGTGATGACATTTTAGATATGACACCAAAGGCACGATCCATGAAAGAAAGAACCGAAAAGCTGGACTTCATTAAAATTAAAAACTTCTTCTGCTCTACAAAAGACACTATAAAAATAATGAGAAGACAAGTCACAGGCTGGGAGAAAATATTTGTAAAAGACACATCTGATAAAAGACTATGTTCCAAAATACAACTCTTAAAACCGAACAATATTGAAAACAAACAACCCAATTAAAAAATGCCAAAAGACCTGAACAAGACAGCTCACCAAAGGAGATAAACCTATGAAAAATATGTGAAAAGATGTTCAGCATCAAATGTCATTAGATAATTGCAAATGAAAACAATGAGATAACACTTTGCACCCATCAAGAATAACTAAAATCCAAAACACCAACACCAGCAAATGCTGATGAGGATGTGGAGGAACAGAATTCTCATTCATTGCTCGTGGGAATGCAAAATGGTACGGCCACTTTTGAAGGACTGAGCCTCAATTTCCTCATCTTTAAATTAGACATCCATCTCTGAGGATATGGTTTTCTTAATTGTGTGCAAAAGATTTTGAGTCAGGCAGGCATCTAAAAAGCCTTTCTTTATTCTATTAATTCCAACGACTCAAATACTGCTCTCCAAAACATTAAAATAAGGAAATTATAGGGAACCAATGCCCCTAACATAATTTCATGAGAGTGCACAAAATGGAGAATGGACCCGACAATGATTCCTCTGAACAGATATGAAAAGCAAGATGAATGCCCGGGCAACATGTAATGAACTGTGATTCTAAACATCACATCCAAATAAAGAGGCATATCTGTCTATTATCTGGAACCAGTGATGTTCAGCAGATTAGTCAACACTCCATTTAAAAAAAAATCATTCCCCCAAACAATAACATAACATGGTAGCAATTTTACTAAAACCTGTTTCTTAGCCTGGATCATCACCTGGGATGCAACAAATACTTCATCTAAAGGTTCTTCTTTAATGTATGATCTATAAGGGACTGGAGGAGGGGCAGTTTTGTACAGAGGAGTTCCTACTTTTGCCATTTTCGACCAGCAGGCGTGGGACTAAAGATAATGGAAGAGAACTCAGAAAAACAGATTTTCTGGTCAGGAGCACGCTGGTAGCTTTAGTCAACAATATCTAAGGAGCTACTGGAATTTGGATAAAATGTCTAAGGGTGCTAAATTTAGTCTAATCCACACATAATGAGATTAAGTGTAGAGTATTTTAAAAATCAAAGTTGGAAGAGCAGTTCAGGATATCCAGTCAAGGTATAACTAAAAGTAAGAGAAAGCCTTAGTCTCATCAATAGCATTACCAAATCAAAAGAAAAGCTGCAAGAACCGCCTAGGGGAAAGTCTCAGAGCAAGAATGTGTCTACAGCCAAAACAAGGGACAGGAAAACCAAGAGGCTCAACTTAATTCCTAGACATGTCCAGAATCTAAATTTCATAACTAGGATAGAAATTTTACTCAACGCAACAGCCTTTCCCAAAAAAGCCTAAAGCCAAAGACAATATTTGATTCTCGCACAGACAACGGGTAATAGGTCAAAATTTCACCGGAGCAGGAAAAACTTTAAAACAACTGCACAGGGGCTTCCCTGGTGGCGCAGTGGTTAGGAATTTGCCTGCCAATGCAGGGGACACAGGTTCGAGCCCTGGTCTGGGAAGATCCCACATGCCGTGGAGCAACTGAGCCCGTGAGCCAC